TGTTCCATTGGTCCATTGGACTAATTGATTTTATTTTTTTATTTTCATCTTCAATTTTCATCACTCTTTTTCCTTCCACATATGGAGAGACCAATAGTTGCACCTTAGATGGCTGCTCATGAGCTTTTATGATCTCATTGTTAACTCACCAAAGTCAGCTTTAGAACATAGTCTGTGTACATTGTGTTATGCCAACTGACCATGTGATATACTCTGAGCATGTGGTCCTGATCCCCTATGCCCAACAACTCATTGCCTAAAAATATTTGATATTATCTAAGTTTTCTCATTTTGCTCCCTGTGTGCTCTACCACATTCATAGGTGTGTTTACAGCAAAGGTAAATATCCATGTACAAATACTCTCTGTCAAACTCATATATGTATGGGTATACTACTCCCCAGTCTCCCACACATACCTATTTGGTCTGTGTGTCTGTTCTTGTATCTGCCCATAGAACATTGTTGTTCCAGGGTTAGGTATATAACAGTATTTATATTCCGTTATCTTTTAGTTCCATTTTCCCACAAACTTACTGAAGCCCTCTCATCTATGTTTTGTTTTTGCTTGCTTACCTTCCTTATCCACCAAATTTAACTTTTATTAGGCTGGAGGGCTTTGTCTGTCTTGCTTTTCACTGTATCACCAGCATATTACTAGCACATAGAAGATTATTGACATAAAGTAGGTGCACAATAAATATTTCTGGGTGAGGAAATGGTATGTAAAGACTTAAAGTTCTGCCCACCCAATAGTTTCTTTTAGAAAGTAGAGTGGGCAAACCTACCCAATCAAGATGAAAACTGAGAAAGTTAGCACTCTTGATAATTCCAATGCCTCTACAAAAAAAAAAAAAAAAAAAAAAAATCAGAGTGGAAGTATATCTAGAGATGACCAAAAAAATGAAAGAAAAGGAAGAATGTAACACAAATTTAAACATGATTAAAGAACTAAGAGAAAATATAGACAAGGAGTTGAAAGAAATAAGAAAAACAATGCAAGAGCAAAATAAGGGTTTAAAAACAGAGATATTGCAACTGACAGGAATACTAACTAAAATGAGAAACTGAACTGCAGGAGTTACCAATGGATTTAATCAAGCAGCAGAAGAAAGAATTAAAAATTAGAGGATAAGATAGTTAAAATTACATATGCTGAGAAACAAGAATAGAGGCTTAAGAAGGCTGAGCACAGTTTAATGGAATGAAGGCACAATGAAAGACTTAATATATGCATCATGGTGATTCCAGAAAGAGATGAGAAAGAGGAAGGGACTAAAAGAATATTTGAAGAAATAATAACAGAAAGGACAAGCAGACCAGCCTAGAACAGCTAGAGCAAAACAAGATACATCTTCAAAGAAAGATCATCAGGAAAAAGCCAAAGCAAAAATGGCAGTATGAACTGGCTACTACATGACTCCACAGCACATAACAACAACAACTACAAGAATAAGCAAGCAATCAAGTTCCTTCAGGACAAACCCTCCCTCTAAGACTGAAACTCAAAGGGAACACATGAGCAA